GCGAGACAGCAAAGACTGTCTCGCTGGCGAGACAGCAAATACTGTCTCGCTGGCGAGACAGCAAAGCCTGTCTCGCTGGCGAGACAGTTCATACTTGTTTTGATTTTTCCCAAAAACAGTATGAAATCCTTTCTCGTGATTTTTTGAGTGATCTTCTCTATGTTTGGGATATCTATTAGCATTTTTCGACGCCTACAATAAGGCCACATCCAACTTGAAACTTTCGCAGTTTGGGTTCAAGTGGACACTATTTCTAAAGTTGGATTCATGAGATTGTATCATAAATTACTCAATAACTAAAAAGCTCAAAAAATAATAATAATAATAATAATAATATTCAGGGCATATATTAGTGTTGCTAATATTAACTTCTCTTGAAGTACTTTCTTTTATCATAGAATTCGGAAGTTTATGAAGTAGTCCTTCTTGTTAGCCTCATGGTTATGAGCCTACTCCCTTTGTTTTGATGATTATAAACAATTCCTAACATTGTGCGTCGAGTGCTTGCATTTGTTTTGTTAGGTAATCTACACAAATATCTTTGTCGGAGGTTGGTTGGATTGCGCCTACACGATCATATCCATTGGAGGATGGAAGGAATATCGGAATGAAGCAATTCACAATTCAAGTCAAAAATTCAAGTTCAAGCTTCATCCATGTTTACCAAGACGAGCTTAATTGAAGATCAAGATTGTTTGGGTATAGTTTTTATAGTATAGGGTTTATACTTGTGTGTTAATACTTAGAGCTCAATCTTATACACACATACACGTTTTGATTTTATAGTTTTCAAGTTTGAATATGAAACAAACAACATTATTTATATACATACATACATGTTTCATATTTATCATTTTTGGTTTTAATAAACAATGTGTTTAGCCACATAAACATGAAACGAATATGCGTATATAAATATATTGTCATGTTTATATGTGCTTGATATGACTTCATTGAAATCAAGTTTTGACGATTTCGTATTCTTGAATAGTTTACAAAATAAATTATATTTCACAAATGAAAAATAAAATTTGAGAAATTCTTTTTCTAACATGTTCTATTACATGTTTACAAACATTTCCCAAAATTTTATCATTTTTGGAGTTGATTTACTATGTCAATTTGATTTTACAAAATTAGGTGTTTCAGCAGTTTTCAGAATCTGGAATATCTATTTTAAAACAATTATTTCTCTTAACTGGGAAGTGATATTTCAGAAATTCTTTCTCTAACATGTTTATATACATGTCTAGAAACTTCTCTCAAATTTTCATGATTTTTGGAGTTGATTTGCTATTTTAATTGATTTTACAAAATCAGCTACGCAAAATTTCAGAATCTGCTGTGAACTGTGTAAGTCGACTTGCTACAGTATAAGTCGACTTAGCATATATGTTTCAGCCTGTAACGGCTAGTTTATAAGTCGACTTATGCACTGTAGCAAGTCGACTTATAACACTGTAACGGCTAGTTTTTCTAGATTTTTAGGTTTTCGTTTTTTTATCTTTTTGCTTGGTTTTCTCTTGGTTTTGGGGCTTGTTCTTTGATCCTATATATAACTCATACCCTCTAACTTCTGAGTGTAACTAAGAAAAAATTTAAATCAAGTTTTGGGCAAGTTTGATTAAGAGTTTTCAAGTGTTTCAAGTTTGGTTTTGTGAAGAAGTTTTCACTAGTGGAAGAAGAGATCATCATTTTGTGTTTGGGCTTTCATCTCATCTCTCTCACTCTTGTTTTTCATTGGAGAAGTTTTCTAAACTCAATCTCTAGCTATTTATATGTTTGATTATCATTTCCATAAGCTAGACTTTAATTGAGTTTATATTTCATTTTCACTCATTGCTTACACACACTCACTTGAGCTTAATATTTCATACATACTTACATAGTATATTGGGGTTGAGACTTGAGAGTGTAACATTGAGTGTGGGCTTAATTGAGTTCTCACCTTGTTTAGAGAACAAACATTTGTTATTGTGCTTAATTGTGGGATCACTTTGTAATACACTTGTACGCCGAGAGGAGTGTGTGGTGAGAGACAAGGTCGATTCCAAGAGGAGTGGCGTCGATAGTAAAGCCTAGGGAGATGTTGTAAATCCGAGCACTTGAGGACGACGACACGGGCTAGAGACGAGGAAGACGACACGGGCTAGAGACCAACACTTAGAGAGTGTAAAGTATGATTGCAAGAGTGTGAGTTGTGAAAGTTTTCGGTGAGCTAGAAAACCGATTGTGAGGTGTAAACGTTTTGGGTGAATGTTGAAAACTCATTGTGATAGTGGAATTCTCCCCGGGAGTGGGGAGCGGAAACGTAGGTCGGAAGGACCGAACTCCGTGATCATATTGTGTGTTTGCGTTTGCCTTGACGTTACATTTGAGCTCATTATTTATTTCATTCTATTTCGTCATTGCTCATGTTTATTTCGCCCTTAGTTTAATATCCTTGCATATAATCTCCTTGAATATCATTCTTGCTAGGATATTTGTTAATAAGTTTTAATTTGACATTAATATCGGATTGGATTAGCATATACCTTATTCACCCCCTCTAGGGTGCTTTCACTTCTATTGATCAATGATTTTGGAGGACTTACTAGATGGCACCTTTTTACATGTATTACCTATATATTGTATTTAATGCAAAATAATTGTGCTCCTCTTATCACGAATTTTACAAAATTTTAATGCTTGTTTTTATACCTGTACGAGCAGCCCATGCCAATGTCTATGTAAGACAGCTTATAAGGCTTCTCTATAATTTGTTATAGTCAAACTGAAACCAGATAATACTTAACTTCTTATCTCCCAACATATAACTTATCCCTCTTCCATCTTTCAGTTTTGTCTTTGCGATAATAATATAGATAAAACAATTCAGAAAGTTCTGACACCTTTGGTAAAGTATAGCAAAAAAAGAGAGAAAATACATCACAAAACCATTTATTTGTCTAAATTTTAACAAGCAATAAATATTATGCATATACATATACTCCTAAAGATACTTTGATCTGATCTCATCTAAAATTAATCATACCCATGGGTCCAATGCAGGAAAATTCACACCTTTCTTTAACTTTATAAAAATCTGGCCATCATACACCTCTCGCAGAAATAGCCTGCAAAAACAAAAATCCAAAAGTGTGTATTTGAATAGCATTGCAGCAACAAACTGAAATAAATGAATATTGAACATATACACAGTTTTGAATGCTGGCCTTGGTGTCAAGGGAGCAATCAAGAGTTGTGATTTTTAGGATTCATCTATACTAATAAATATGACTAGCCAAGTGTATGACAGTAAACAATGCTCAAAGTCAAATAACCGGAACTAGACCCATTATTTTGGCCAAATTTTCATTTTTTTTTTCAATAACATTAATGAAGTTTATGACTGAAATTGTTCTCAAGATTCCTTTTTGACATTAAAGAAAGAATAAATTTTGTAAATTTTTAAATGCCTTCTTTCTTACAAACAACAGAATGCATTGTCAGCTTTGTAATGAGAGGTCTGTTAAAAAAACATAACTATTGATAAAATGGCCATATAGATAGCAACCTGATCTTAAAATTAGGATTTTGTTTTCAATTTATTAAAATCTAATCCTTTTTCCCTTAATAATGCATTAAAGTTTACAAACAATAAAAGGTAGAGGTCATTACATAAATCAGCTTTCGAGAACAAAAGTATGAACAAAAAAACTTAAACCTACTCAGAAAGAAATACTGTCCGACACTCCGCTCCATCCATTTCAGACCACCCTATGTCTTCCTGCAAAGAAAGAACAGAAACAACAATAATACTCTACATTACAACTAAAAACGATGAGAAATATGTTGCAAGTTGTTTCATATTACACCCTGAATGCTTTCTTAAGTTTACATAAGCCCCAAATTTTCATATTAATACCTTCGGAGGGTTGTTATACCATTTGTAACTGTAATTAGTCAACTTTTTACAGTTAAAACGCTTTAGGAGTGTGAATCAAAAACATGAAGATTTGGGGTTCTTGCATATATACCCCTCAAATCTTCCATATTTGCAAATATACCCCCCAAATCTTGGTATTTGTAAATTTTTGATTTCCAACCAGTACAACCTTTAAAATTTCAAGAATTTCCAGCAAGCCCGCAACAATTTTTCGCTTAAAACTAAAACTCTTAAAGAGAGAGGGGGTAGAAAAGCTAAATGTGAGAGGATTGGGCGAGGGTAAATTTGCAAACGTGAAACATTTGAGGGGTACATGTGCAAAAACTACTCAGGGTCTAACATCAAAACCCTAAAAAAAACGTAATTTTGCTAAATTCTCATGAGACAAGTAGTTTTAACAAAAGGAAGATTATACCGGAGGGCTAGAGTAGGCCTCGAAGGCGAAACCAGCGAGAACAACGGCGAGGTTGAGATCGAAAGGAGGTCGATCGCTCTCCACCACCGAACTGCTCGCATCTTCAGAGCTCGACCGAGGAACGATTAGGCTGCCGCTTCTCGAAATAGAAACCCTAGATTTCGAGGCTAGGGTTTTGAAGCGTGGACGAGAGTAGGGTTTCTTGAAGCGAGAGGGCGCTGAAGGAAATGGAAGAGAACGATATTGGATTTGGATCGGGAGTCGAGAGATTTGAAGAGCAGACATTGAAAATTTTAGAGAGAGAGAGAGAGAGCGTTGAGCGAGGATGAAGAAGGGAGGATGTTCGAGAGAATGAAGATGGGACCCACAGAGCTTAGAGAGAGAGAGCGCTGAGCGAGGATGAAGAAGGGAGGATGTTCGAGAGGCTGAGATGGGACCCACAGAGCTTGTACCAATCAGGTAGCGACACGTGGATGAAAGAGGACGAATTATGAAGTGAGATACGAGGACAAATTTTCAAAACTAACATGTTTAATATCTTATTATATATTATAATTGTAAAAGCCAACCTATTTCCAAATTAATTACCAAAATCGATACAGTTTAAATCAGTTGGCTGAAACTGGGTCGATTTTGAAGAAAAAAATTACAAAACTTCATGGGATCTCAAGTCCCGTGAAGTTTAAGGCCCCGCTAACAGCGTTGGTTAGGGGTATATAAGTTCATGGGAAAATTTTCAATTTACAGAACTTGAAGTTTTGCGAAAATTTTCAATTCAACAAACTTTACGGGACTTCAAGTCTCGTGAAGTTTCAGTCATATATTCCACCTCTTCTCGCCCTAGGCTCCCCGTCATCCTCTACTTCCACAGCGGCGGCTTCGTCCTCTTCTCGCCCGCCTCAGCCTCGTCCACCTCTCATCTTGACACCCGCATCCCGCCCTGTCGCCTCCGGTCGCCTACCGCCTCGCTCCCGAGCACCGCCTCCCCGCTGCCTACGACGACGACGTCGACGCCCTCCTCTTCCTCCGCGACTAGTCCCTCAGTCCTACCGACTCCTGGCACGGATCCCACGCGGACTTCTCCAACGCCTCTATCATGGGCTCCAGCACCGGCGGCAACATCGCATTTCACCTCGGCCTCCGCTCGATGGGCCTAAACCAAACCCCGTTGAAGATCAACGGGCTGATCCTGAACCAACCCTATTTCGGCGGGAAGGCGAGGGCCAAGTTGGAGGCGAGATCCGAGGAGGACAAGATCCTACCTTTGGCTGCGAACAACCTGATGTGGGAGCTGGCTTTTCTAGTGGGGGCCGATAGGGAACATGAATACTGCAATCCGACGAGGGTTGAGGGGGAGAGGGCTCGCTGAGGGTCCCTAGTAGGGGGTAGGCAGAGACCCATTGATCGATCGCAGCAGGATTCGTGAAGGCGGCAGAGGGGCGAGGGAGTTCTTCTGCCAAGCTTCCTGGAATTGCCCGAAACTTTATGGGACTTGAAGTCCTGTAAAGTTGGTTGAATTGAAAATTTTCACGGGACTTCAAGTCCCGTGAACTTATATACTCATAATCATATGTATTAGCGGGATCTTAAACTTCACGGGAGTTGAAGTCCCGTGAAGTTTCATTAATTTTTTCGCCAAATTTTCGACCTAGTTTCAGTCAATTTGCTGAAACCGGGTCGAATTTGGTAAATAAATTCAAAATGGGTAGTTTTTGACAATTAAGTTTCTAAACGGGTCGAATTTGAAAAATTGTCGCATCGGGCCCCACAACTAAATCCCCGCTTGGATATAAAGATTCTCTGCTCTAAATTCTTCAAAAGTTGTAAAAAGATAAAAAATGGAAAATTCTTCTTCCCGATTCTTGGGCGATCGACAAATCATCGACAAAACCCAATTCATTCGGCTCATCCTCCAATCCCTCTCCTCTCTCGGATTCTCCAGATCCGCATCCGCCCTCGAATCCGAATCCGGGATCCCCTCGAACCCCCCAGAGTACTCCGCCATCTCCTCCCAAACCCTAGCCGGCGAATGGGACGATCTCATCTCCACCATCGACTCAATCCCCGACGTCGATCTCGATTCGAGGTCGATCGCCCGGTTCCTGGTCTGGAAAGAACAGTTCTTGGAGATTCTGGGGTTGGACGAGGAACAAAATGGGGTTGTTTTGGCGAGGAATTTGCTGTGGGAGAGGATCTCGGGTTTGGATTTGGACCGGAAGCGGGTTCATCGGCTGGCTAGGGTTTTGATTGACGGGGAGGGGGTCGTGGGAGCTGAGGAGAAGGAGAGGAGGAGGTTGGGCTTGTTGTCTGATTTGGTGGGTTTGATGCCGGAGAGGGTTAGGGTTCCGCCGAGCGGGAGGCTGGAGGAGTTGGTCGAGATGGCGGTGATGAGGCAGCTGGATTCTTGCTTTTATCATAATTCACCGAGGGAGGTTTGTTTGTACGAGGATCATGAGTGTGGTAGGGAGCAGATTCCTTCCAAGTGTAGCCAGGTTAGTGTGTGGAATAAACTTTTTCGTTTTGTTGAAAGCTTGAAGCTTTTAACAGGAGTGCAGGAAATGAGCATGTTCTGCATCTTTTCAAATATTCTTGTTGAACGTTATGATATGTTGGAAATTCTGCCGACCAGTCGACCGCTGGAATTAACTTTTAGTTATATTGGAAAATTGAGAAGGGTTTATCGAATGCTTCATCCTTTTGATAAGAGCAAGTAATGTAGTAAAAGAACATGTTCTGCGTCCATTCAAGAATGTTATTGAAAGTTATGATATATGGGACAATTCCACCCACAACCGGGCAAAATATTCATGTCCTTTAGTATCTGATACCGACAAATGTGTGCCACTTTATTTGCGAGTATGGAAGGAATCTTACAACTATCAATTTCCTTATATGTGATGAAAAATATCACGTACCAATGAATATTAGCCCATATGTTATATCCATAAGTTGTCGAGTAAGTTTTCTGAGTTTCTCATACTTATGCCCAGATGTTTGGAGGTAACATGACCCTGTATGTAGACTTTCTGATTTCTTCTAGGTTGATTTATAGCCCGATTTTTTAATATTGGCCTTTTGCCAACAGATAATGTAAATGGATCTTCAGATTTTCTCCCTATTTATGTGACGAAGGATTGATGATATAACTTCCAGTCAACATGTTTGTAAATCTATGACTTATAGTTTCACTCTTAGGCTAGCGTTCAAATCCACCCATTTTTACTCACTTGTAAGTTGTAAGAAAACGAACTACACTGTACCTTTGTCTTGCCGAGAACAGTCTAGAGCCTATATTGGAAAAAGGCTGCTATTCTTATTCTCATTTGTCGCATCAGCATCTAGTTTTGTTGCCCCTGGGGTTAGTTAGAATGTTTGGGTTAGGGTTTGGAGTCAATATGGTAATGGACCAACAAGCTTGCTGAGCAAGTGTGGAGCTAACTTTTTTAGCGTGGCGTTTGGTTACTACGTGAATGTTTCTTTATGGCAATCGAAAGACCTCAAGTTGTCATCCCTAATAAAATGCTTGCAGAAAAACTTTTTCGTGAATAAGCATACTATAATGATTAACTTTATTGAGAAAGATCAATTTTGCAGCTTGCAGCATTTCAGAGCGGGCTCTCTGGGTCCATGTTACTATAGATGTCTTATCCAAAAGCCCATATTTTTCAACTTTCATGCTTAAGAAACACAAACCTGCTCCTTAAAAACATATAATAAATGAAATGAGACAAAGCAACATGCAATTAATGTCATCAAAGAATGTAGGATTATTTGTCACTTTCTATAATGTAGGAACTAATCTATATTCCTGGTATTTCTATCTGAAGCCATACCCTTCCTGACATGTACCATACTTAGACCAACACTACCTAGACACTCCTTGAATATATGCATACATTTATTTGGACGTGTACTCAATTACATAAACGTGTTTATGCATTTTGTGAATTTTGTTATTTGCTTCCAAATCATCATGAAAAATACAATTAATGTACCATTGGTTTCATAGAGGGAACTTCATTTATCTTTTACTTCCAGAAATGGTTACATCCTAACCAATCTGTCAACTATTCAATACGTTGCTTCATATTTGAATGAGCTTTAAAGTTTCTGAAGAGCTGTGATAGTATGGTAGAGTGATCTGGATGATTGTCAGTTTTCTGGGTTATCTTCCAATTAGGCTTCTTGGCTTCTTTTTATTTTTATGAATTTTGATCCTCTACATTGATTTGTGCTCTTTCAAATATTTCGAGGTTTGCTCTTTTGCAGCATGAGCTTAATCCTCAACTGCCTACAACAGAAGGTAGGTGTTCCTGTCCATTTGACAGCTCTTTTTAGCCAGTCTTATTCGGACATTCTGAATCATTCTTATATGTCTTTACTTAGCTGAATCAGACACAAGTTTAAAAGCTGTATCAAATTCCATTTAATGTCATTTTCATGTTTCCCTCATATTTCTAGCTTTTTGAGAAACAAGAATATAACTATATTAGACATACAAGTGGTAACCCCCAAAGCATGGAGAATGTGATTGTTCATCTTAGATGGAGAGCAAAAAGATTGTTTACCGAAAGGCAATCCCTCTGTGTTTGAGGTATTGCCTTTTGAGTTATACTCCTACTCAATATTTTGCTAACATGTCTTTATTAATGTTGCTGTCACCTTGTATTCATGCAGATATTACATGACCATAAAAATGAAGTATGGTTTGTACAATTTTCAAACAGCGGGAAGTACTTGGCATCTTCTTCTAGTGATTGCACAGCCATCATTTGGATGGTAAGTTACAACTTTCACAGTAGTACTATGTTACGTGTCCTCATAGGTATCAATTGTGTATTACTGATGGAAATTGAAGTGGATCGCTGAAATATTTAATGAAGCCAATTTGGTTGGATAAACATGTTCTTGTGTCTAAAGTCATCTTGCTTCTTTTGTTTGTTTCTTCTGCAATCGTGTATTACTTACCTCAGTGAAACCTCTGACACAAACCCATTATTTGATTGGGTTTGTTTCTTCACCTTTCTCACCATCTATATTAAACTTTACAGAGGGGGAGGGGGAAAATCTATAAATGCTGAAATACCCCATGGACACTAAATTTTATATGCACAAAAGCAGTTTAGGTGAATTTCGTCATGGATGAAGGTATGGTTCCTTTCTTTAATTCTTTTGTGCCATTTGCTGCCATAACAGTATTGATGGTACAAAAGTAACCTAAACTTTTTTGTGCCTTTAGTGCTAAAACAGCATTGAGGTTTCAAAATTAACCTGGACTACTTAAGTATTGTCAATTCTGCAAAATATATATAATTTAAGCTACTGAGTATATGAACATCGTTAATATTTTTTGTTTAAAAGTTAGGATTTGGATACCATTTAGTTTAAACTGTTTTTATATCTTTCATAGAGATAAGAAACTGCATATCCTCCTTATGTAAAATATAGAACATGGATATGATTTATATGTTTTTGCCTTTTCCCAACTAACAAAAGCACACCTCCATTCTTTTCATTATCGATGAAACAAAGTGATACATCTTTCTGGGATAAAGATTAGGCAAAAGGGACAAACCTATTAAGGTTTCAAGTATTGCACGCTTCAAGTGGTGAATCTTTCGTGCAGTTTCTGAATCATGTTTCTATTAATTGAATCTTCATGCAATTTGCGTCCTATTTAAGAGAAGGACTATTTACTTCCCAGTACCTTGTGCTATGGTTGTAATTAAGGGTGCTAAACCATATCAGTAACCATATCTGTTAGGATATGAATGTAGTTACTCAAATCTATAACTGATAGGATATGGTTATAGATATGGTTTTGTAGTGAAATATCCAGATCCGTAACCTAAATATCCAAAAACATATTAGTCATACTATTACGAAAGTTTTATCCTTAGATTATAGATTTAAGGTTAGTTTTGATAATCAAGATATTTAATCTTAGCTTTTCAGATATAATGAGCTTGTTAATGAACTCTTTTGTCTCATATGAACTATAAGTACTACCTAGTTTTCTCATATTTGTTTTGTATCTACATGCGTATCCGCTTATATATCCACATTTATATCCTTATCCGATTTTAGCGGATATGGATATGAATTTTCCTTCTCCGAGATGGATAAGGGAATATGGATATGGTAAGTATCATATCTGAGCCGTATCCAGACGGAATGCACCCCTAGTTGTAATTACGCGGGTGATCCTGGGTCTATGTATCCACACAGGTGACCTTGAGATTACTAACTAGACTACACTTTTAACTCTGAGTAACCCTAAGATTACTGTTATTAGGGTTACCAGTAGCCTCAGCCATTAACATCAGGGTTATCCATGTAGATACATGAACCCTGGGGTCACCCGTCTAATTACACTATACCACAAGCTACCGGGATGTAAATAATCCTTAAAGAATTACCTTCAACTTTCACCATATTTGTAAAACTACCACGTGCTATATTTACCTTCAGTATGGTATTTCCTGTTTGAGTGCACTTGGGCTAGCTCTTCTGATATGCCTGCAGATCTTTCGTTGGATATAAAAAAACATTAGTTATATTCAATGAAGATAGTTTGGTGTGAAGTTGTTAGGCGTTTAAATGAGCAAAGTGCCAACTGAAGATAAATGCAATAAGGATAGGTAAGTGGTAAACATGTGCAAACTTGATAGAATTTGAAGTTACTATTTGGCAATTTATTCTTTTTTAAAAATGAAATTTGCAATACCTGTATTATTTTGGTAATGGCGAAGATCTGTTATTTCTGTAAAACGTTTCCACAAAATCTCGCCTTAAAGAACTATTTTCCATGTAATCATTGTCAGAAATGTTCAGGTGAAAGAAGATGATACCCTGTTGTTGAAGCACTGTATAAGCGGTCATGGTAAACCTGTCTCCTTCGTGGCATGGAGTCCTGATGACACAATGCTGCTCACATGTGGCAATAAAGAAGTCCTGAAATTGTGGGACGTTGATACTGGCATTTGCAAGTTAACATTTGGTAGCCCCGCTGACTGTGTAATTAGCTCATGTGCATGGTTTCCCGATTCAAAGAAAATAGTATGTGGCAGCAGTGAGCCCCATAATCGCATATGGACTTGTGACTTTGAAGGTAATGAGCTTGAAGTTTGGGAAGGGGAACGGATACCGAAGGTTTCAGATCTTGCTGTAACACCTGAAGGCAACCATCTGATCATATGTTCCAGCAGAGAAATTTGGGTACGGGATTTCCCGAGGGGAAAGGAATGGGTCATCAGCGAGGAACATTCTATTACATCACTTTCTGTGTCCAGTGATGGACAGTTTTTGATTGTGAACCTTAACAGTCAGGAAATTCATTTGTGGAGTATTCTAGGGAATTGCAAAGTCGCAGATAGGTTCACGGGACACAAGCAGGGGAAGTATGTAATTCGGTCTTGTTTTGGAGGATCAAATAGCTTATTCATTGCCAGCGGCAGTGAAGATTCACAGGTAAATTTTTTTATTACTATATTCTCTGCTATTTGTGTATTTATAGAATACCAACTTCCTGACATGCGCGAAAACATTGTAAGTCTGATTCTAAGGATGGCTTATTTATATTTTGTATCATAAAAGCCAAGATATGTAAGAATGTTAACTTCTATCTTACTTGTCTTTGTAAATTTTTGAATCTTTAGTTGAGAGGAACCATAAATGCAGATTATCACTTTCTAGTTTTACTTATCTTTGCATCTTTAACTGGTGAGAGTTAAACCAAATGCAACTATTCCGTTTCTAGTACAACTTCATTTAATTTGGAAGTTCAAGCACATCCAAGTTTATACACCCTATTAAACATAATAAAATGAAAATCAATCTGCATGCCTTCAAGAGGGTGTGTATTTTGTGTGTGCTTCAAGGCCCTCAAGATTTAAGGGATACTTATATGCTATCCTTAGAGCCTTCATTTTCTTGTATGGATTGGACTGCTGTGCACCAAAAGAATGAATGTACAAATAAGGAGTCGAGAAGCGCATTTGCTGTTGAGCACTACGCTTCACTTTATATACCAAAATTGAGAATAAGATCCGTTGGAAGGATAGCTTCTCGGGATTTTATTGAATACGTTGAAAGAACAGGACTGTTGTCTATCTCAGGACATGGGCAGGTTAGAATTTGAGCTGAAAGTATGTGCATGTGACAAACTTGGAGAGAGTTTCCATAGGAAGAGTATTTTTCCTGAACATCTTTGTCAAATACAATGAAAGATGCTTTTACTATAAGGAGCTGTGTGGATGAATAATTGCACCATCACGTACCATTTTTTTGGTTGGGTGAAAGGTTGAATGCAGGGTTCCACTGTCCATTTCTTACTGAAACCATGTAGCGAAGAGGGTGTCTGACATAGTATTTTGCAGACGTCGCAATAAATCTCGGACATTTCCCGACAAACTTTCCTCAAAGCAAACAAAAGTTCTTTGAAGAGGATCTTGTATCTAACAATTTTTTTTAGAATTTCAAGGAAACAAGCAGCCTCTAATCGCATCTCTTACCTTCTCTACCTCAGAGTTGAAAATAGAAGTTGGAACCTGCCTGATTTCATATCTACGTCATTTTGACAGGTTTACATCTGGCATCGGCATCAAGGAAAGCCTATTCAAGTTTTATCAGGTCATTCAATGACTGTTAACTCTGTCAGCTGGAATCCCACGAAGCCTCATATGTTGGCATCGGCAAGCGATGACCGCACTGTTCGAATATGGGTTGGCAGCAGAAACCCTTGCCAGAGCCCCTTCCCTTGAGTTCTCTTGTGTGGATAAAAAGTTCTGCATCTGTACATATTTGTAAAATCAGAGATGTAACTTTTCTGGAAGGCATGAAGATTTTTTTTGTTGTACATTTAATTGAATAATGTGAATTATGATTTTGCGGTAAAACCGCGTGAAATAGTTAATGTGTTATTGAATTGCTCTTTAGCAAGATTCATTCAAATTTCAAAGCCTTTGTTTATGTATTAGGTAGCCATTGTAAAAAGGGTATGTCCACGTGTCTTTATTCTTCAAATTCAATTATGCTGCCTCACAAATAAGTGTATCTACATATATAAACGAAGCAAGCTGTATTTTTTTTAATTGTTGTTCTTTAATATAATCATTTATCTTGCAGGACCCATGCTCCTAGTTTAGGGTCGGAGTCTAATTTCAACTGCGTAAAACCGAAGGAAATGTCCTTGAAGCATAAGACAAGCGCATCAGATATAGCCACCAGCCTCATTCTAGTAAAATTTTTGCCACTCATCGTACTCTAACATCTGAGCGCAATATTACTAAGTTTAATTTTCTAACATAGATCGGTTTAGTTCGATGTCCTTGATGCTCAAATACATGAAGTTTTCACCAAATATACTGCACCCTAGAAAACCTTAGATCATAGCTTTCTTCGTACGCGACACAATTAATTCACAACAAATTGAGGTCACGCCAGAATTTTGATGTATTACAATCAACAGCTCAGGTTCAGGCAATAAATGCATTGTTTCACAAAATCAACCTAACAAGAGAAATCCAATACAATATCAATACAATTTCCAGGTTCATTCATATTTAACTCAAATAACTACGCAAAAAACAATCACTGGCTCCTATCCACCATCATCATAGGAGAAAAAAAGTAACAAGAAAATTTGTGGGTAATCAGCTTCATCATTTTCATTTCAGCATTACTGCAGCTAATAAACAAAGTAACAAACCAACCACTCCTCCGTCGTGATGAGAGGATCGAAACAATAGATAGACAATTTCATCGATGAAAAAGAAAAAAAGAAAAAGAAAAAACAGAGAAACAAGATTCAAAAGGGAAGGTGTCGGGTCCTTTCTTTTTTGCTTCATTCAGCTCCTGCTGCTGTTGTTGTGGTCTCCGACTCCAAGGGTGTTCTTCACAGTCTCAACTGCACCCCGTGCCATTTGCTTCACTTGCTCCCCAGTCTGCCAAAAAATACCATCCGATAACAATCAGACGAAAATTGCTTAACTGTAGACAGTCATAACAGATAAAAACAAAAGTGACATAAAATTGCTAATACAAGACATATGAACAGGTTTTCAATAAGAATGTGACTTTTCAATTTGTGTCTTAGAACTAATGAACGAAACTGCAGGCGAAAAAGATTTAAAAAGAACAGATAAGATAAATTTCTGAGTTCAATGCCTATCTTTCATTTTTTTTTCTTTTTTTTTTCTCGATACTGAAATCCATAACCCACGCATTTCCGTCAATGATCCTATATTTCCGCTTCTCTCTATATCAATGAATATGACATGTAATACTTCAACATTCCTCGAATTTAATATTAAAGAACTATAACCAGTAACAGAAGAGAAGAAGATGTGTACAATTATTATAACAGTTAATTGCGGGTAGACCCCACCCTCCTCCTTCTCCTCCAAATAGACCCTCAGAGGTTAAAGAGTCAAAAAAAAAAAAAAAAAAAAAACTTAAAACTTCACTCAGCCAATCTATACGCAAAAGTAAAACTCGATCGAGTGTATTAAGTACAAGACAACGACTAAAGGGGTCACTATCAACAATTAACCCTAATTATAAAGAAGTAGAGGCGTCTGAGGAACCTGCTGAAGTAACCCAGCAGCCTGCTCCTTAGTCTCCTCAACCGACTGGGCTGCATCTGACCTGTGAGCCTGAAGGCTGTTGGTCTCAGATCCCACCCATTTGTCTGCCTGTGCCTGCAAGGATATCAAAACAAATATAATGGTCAGATCTTCATCAAATACTATAAGAAACCTGCATGAGAGAGGATCAGAATGGATAAGCATACCACACCAACTCCACGTGCTTGGCCCGCACTGAATTGCTGCTGAGGATTCGACATTGCTTACAATAATATTACGAGAAAGGGATTAATGTTGTTTTTTGTGAATAGCTTGTGGATGGAGTTGTATATATAGAGATAGAGTGACCTGTTCTAGAATAACATGTGTCATACTTTAGTGTGATGAGACCCCATAATTTTGCTTTGACAAGGTAAAAGCTGTTGTTAACCGTTCAATCATAATACAGATCTAGTGTCAGACATATATCACCCAACAACAGAACTGGTCAACGTGATGACAAATACACTGTTTCACTGGATCTTGAGAAATAGAATTGTCAATTACACCGTTAACAATAGCTAAAATACATAAAGTCAAGTTGGTAATGTGCAAATCTTCAAATAAAAGCCTTCTGCTAAACTAAACAAGATACTACAGTACATTGCATCAAATATAGTATATCTTCAGATGTCGCTGTTCACATGTTCCTTAAAATGTTTGCAACTTCTTGAATGTCTTTCAGCTTTGCAGGGATGCCTGAAAAAAGGTGATAACTAACTTGCAACAAGTTATGAATTACCAGAATTTATGTGGATATATAATGGATGACTTACCTAGGTTACGTGCCATATGTTGTTTTTTGCATGGAATCTCTGTTAATCCAATCCTTGTACATTCTTTGTCACCCTTTCTCTTGGTCTTCACTTCCTCAATCTTCGCTTGCAGTTTTGATGCGGTTTCTCCTATCTCTGTGGCATTGCATTTCAGCGAGTGAACTATAAGAACATGAAAGTTAAAGAAAACAAGGGACCAACCTCTAACATAACTTAATTGAAAATTCATGTTTCAGACAGAACTCTCACATATGACATAACTAAATTATTCTACCAGTCAAACCAGTGGATTTTAAATATACTTTAAGAAGTTGTTTCTATAAAAGAAAAGAAATAAATAATATGGTTTTTGTTCTATCTGCATTTAACATTACTTTTGCAAGCAACTAATAACTGCATTTATTAATACTCAGAGGGATCACAATTATATGATTTTGCTCCCTGAATAATATGTCCATCAAATACTAGACCTGCAATTACTACAATATAAATGTACTTCAAATTTTAAACATTTAAAGGAAAAGTTAGTTAAGGTCTCACCATTTATCTCTAAGTTTGGACTGGGCCCTTTGACCAAATGAAAATAAAAATTAAGGTAGAAGTGTGAAGAGAGAGGAAGGGAGAGAAACAATCGGGGAAGTGATACCTTTTTTACTTTCTTTTGTTGGGGGCGAGAGATGGGGTGGGGTGGGAGACAAGGGAAATATAGAGGTGCACGATAGAGAGAAACATGTGAGAGAGATGCAGAAATTTAAATCAATTTTTTTTTCTAAATTATAACAACTAAAAGGACAAACTTGGTTAAGGACCCTTATTTTTTCCATTATGTAGGGACCAACATGCAATTACGCACTTTCTTTCATTATCATATCCTGCTTTTAACTTTATTTCCAGTATATCATATTACAGAGAGATGGGAAAAGGTTAGTAACAGAAGTAACAGAATAGCATTACAGAGAGATGATAAGAATGCAAATGAGGATACCTTGAAACATCTTATCTGCTGAGTTTTGCTCAAACAGCTCTATAGCCTCGGCTACATAAGAATGCAAGCTATGACTCAGTGTAGACTGATTATCCAATGAACGAATCTCTTTTTGCAGCTCCACAGATTTCATTCCAGCCTGAGGCAGTCACCTTGTCTCTCAGAGATAAATTGACATGATCAAAAAAGAAAATTCTATAAGGATATCTGACGAAGTGGGAGTGTACTTACCGCAGCAAGTTTGTTTCTTAAGGAACCTAACTGAGAATCAAGCTCCCCATCATCCAATCCTTCTTGAAACAATAGACTATCACTAGAAGAGTCCTGCTTCAGGACATGGTTCAGAAAGACTTCTCATCTAAATTATAAGATCAAAACATTAACATTAAATTATGATGATAAGATGAGAAAATTATGTTCAAATTTTAGATTTTATTTAATTGTCTCTACTATACATAATGCCTAAGCTATAAAGAAAACGTTCTCTACAGCTTTTATTGTATAAAAGGATCATATTTTTAGTTACGAGCATGAAATATCCCACATGACCGGTAATTTAAGTTTCCTGCTCTTTATAAAGTTAAGTTAATTGAAAATTATTGCCTTTCTTTTGTTTATTTTTTTGGGGGTGGGGGTGGGTGGTGTCAGCAGCCTCAGCCGCCCACGTTCCTTTAACAGCAGCCGTTTTTAACTTTGGATAAAGGAGCATGCCCCACATTATTATTATAATATAAATACATAGTAAATTATTATTATTTTATTATGCATAGTATTTTTCAAAATCTTATAAATAGGATCCAAATCTTTAAGAAAATTTGATGCCAGAAACAACTTCTTATATAGAAGAGTGAGAGAGAAAAAACAGAGAGAATTTCTCCTTGTAAAGAAAGAGAGTTTGTAACTCCAGAGTTTTTTTCTCATAGTGAATTCTTCTATCCTTGCCCGTGGACGTAAGCAATCAAGTGCCGAACCACGTAAATCTGTGTGTCCAACTTTTTATCTCTATTTTTGCTGCGACCCTGCTCATGGTTTGCAGATTGAACAAATCTCTATACGGTCTAAAGCAGGCGCCGATGTGTTGGTATAAGAGATTTGATTCATTCATCTTGAGCCTTGGATACAACAGACTTAATTTAGACCCTTGTGCATATTTCAAGAGGTTTGGTAAAAATAACTTTGTTATCTTATTGTTGTATGTTGACGACATGTTGGTTGCAGGCCCCAACAAAGATCGTATCCAAGAATTAAAGGCTCAGTTAGCTAGGGGATTTGAAATGAACGATTTAGGATTTGCAAACAAGATTTTAGGGATACAAATTTACCGAGACAGAGTTAATAGGAAGATTTGACTTTCTCAGAAGAACTGTTTGAAGAAAATCTTGCGGCGTTTTAACATGCAAGATTGTAAGTCAATTTCTACCCCACTTCCTGTTAATTTCAAGTTATCCTCTAGTATGAGTCCTAGCAGTGAAGAAAAGAGGATGGAGATGTCTCGAGTACCGTATGCATCAGCAGTGGGAAGCTTAATGTTCGTGATGATTTGTACAAGACCAGACATTGCACAAGCAGTGGGAGTTGTTAGTCGATACATGACGAATCCTGGTAAAGAGCATTGGAATGCTGTAAAGAGGGTCCTAAGATACATTAAGAGAACCTCAAATGTTGCATTATGTTATGAGGAATCTGATTTTATTGTCAGTGGATATGTTGATTCTGATTATGCAGGTGATCGTGATAATAGCAAATCTACCACAGGCTGTGTTTGTACTTGCTGCGGAGCTGTAAGCTGGGTTTCAAAACTGCAGTCACTTGTGACTACTTCAACAACAGAAACAGAGTATGTAGCAGCTACACAAGCTAGTAAAGAGGCGATGTGGTTGAAGATGGTGCTGGAAGAACTCAGCCATGAACAAATGAAGATGGCAAGATAGAAAGAATGGTGTGAAGATATGATTGATACTCAATCAAATCTTTAATTGGAGATTGTCAGCAGCCTCAGCTGCCCACGTTCCTTTGATAGCAGCCGTTTTTTACTTTAGATAAAGGAGCGGGCCCCACATCATTAAAATAATAATAAATTACTATACATTTATATTATAATAATGATGTGGGGCCCGCTCCTTTATCCAAAGTCAAAAATGACTGCGGTCAAAGGAACGTGGGCGACTGAGGCTGCTGACAATCTCCCACTTGAAGATTTGATTGAGTATCAATCATATCTTCACGCTATTCTTTCTATCTTGCCATCTTCATTTGTTCATGGCTGAGTTCTTCCAGCACCATCTTCAACCACATCGCCTCTTTACTAGCTTGTGTAGCTGCTACATACTCTGTTTCTGTTGTTGAAGTAGTCACAAGTGACTGCAGTTTTGAAACCCAGCTTACAGCTCTGCAGCAAGTGCAAACACAGCCTGTGGTAGATTTGCTATTATCACGATCACCTGCATAATCAGAATCAACATATCCACTGACAATAAAATCAGATTCCTCATAACATAATGCAACATTTGAGGTTCTCTTAATGTATCTTAGGACCCTCTTTACAGCATTCAGATTCCTCATAACATAATGCAACATTTGAGGTTCTCTTAATGTATCTTAGGACCCTCTTTACAGCATTTCAATGCTCTTTACCAGGATTCGCCATGTATCGACTAACAACTCCCACTGCTTGTGCAATGTCTGGTCTTGTACAAATCATCGCGAACATTAAACTTCCCACTGCTGATGCATACGGTACTCGAGACATCTTCATCCTCTCTTCTTCACTGCTAGGACTCCTACTGGAGGATAACTTAAAATTAACAGGAAGTGGGGTAGAAATTAACTTACAATCTTACATGTTAAAATGCCGTAATATTTTCTTCAAATAGTTCTTCTGAGAAAGCCAAATCTTCCTATTAACTCTGTCTCGGTAAATTTACATCCCTAGAATCTTGTTTGCAGATCCTAAATCCTTCATTTCAAATTCCCTAGCTAACTGAGCCTTTAATTCTAGGATACGATCTTCGTTGGGGCCTGCAACCAACATGTCGTCAACATACAACAATAAGATAACAAAGTTATTTTTACCAAACCTCTTGAAATATGCACAATGGTCTGAATTAAGTCTGTTGCATCCAAGGCTCAAGATGAATGAATCAAATATCTTATACCAACATCTCGGCGCCTGCTTTAGACCGTACAGAGATTTGTTTAATCTGCAAACCAAGTTCTCTTTTCCTTTTTCTTCAAAACCTTCTGGTTGGAGCATGTAAATTTCTTCTTCAAGATCTCCATGAAGAAATGTTGTTTTCACATCTAGCTGCTCTAGATGAATTTCTTCTTCAAGATCTCCATGAAGAAATGTTGTTTTCACATCTAGCTGCTCTAGATGTAAGTCAAATCTAGCGCTTATAGCCAGGACTATTCGGACTGTTGTAAGTCGAACTATAGGAAAAAATATTTTATTAAAATCAATACATTCTTTCTGAGCATATCCTTTTACCACCAATCTAGCACGATATCGCTCCACTTGATCATCGCCATTTCGCTTGATCTTGTAGACCCATTTGTTTCCACTTGATCATCGCCATTTCGCTTGATCTTGTAGACCCATTTGTTTCCAATGGTCTTTCTTCCTTGTGGCTGTGACACAAGTTCCCATGTCTTGTTCTTATGAAGAGCTTCAATTTCTTCCTGCATTGTTACCATCCACAAAGATGCATCTGTGTCATTTATAGCTTTATGAAAAGTTAATGGCTCTCCATCTTCTGTTAGAAGATAGTATGCAACATTACTCTTCGTAATATACTCCGAGTGCCAAATCGGTGGCATTCTCTCACGAGTTGACCTTCGAGCTTATGAAACCTTGGACTGGACTGGTTCTTGTACATCATGCTCCGGTGTTGCTTAAAAAGAATTCAGATCATCATCTACCTGAACAGCTATAGTCTCTGAGTCCTTCCTCGAATTGCTTTCTTTTTTACCACTTTGTAGTTGATTTTCTACAAAGATAACATCTCTGCTGATGATAACCTTATGAGTAGTTGGATTCCACAGACGATACCCCTTTACTCCATCAGCATACCCCAAGAATATGCATTTTCTGGATTTTGAATCCATCTTTATAATTTCTTGGGCATTGTACATTACGTACACCGGACTTCCAAATATATAGAGGTTAGAATAATCAGCTGGTTTGTCAGTCCACATCTCCATCGGTGTCTTTAATTGTATTGCAGTTGATGGAGATCGATTCACCACATAACAGGCGGTTTTTACTGCTTCTGCCCAAAAGACTTTTTCCAAATTTACAGTTGCCAACATAGCTATTGTTCTTTCCAACGGAGTTCTATTCATCTGCTCTGCCACTCCATTTTGTTGAGTATAAGTTGTGCTGAATTGTCTTTTGATGCATTCATGCTTGCAGAATGCTAGGAATTCACCGTCTGTGTATTCTCCTCCATTATCTGACCTCAAGTACTTGATCTTTTTCTCAGATTCAAGCTCGACCCGCGCTTTGTAGGCTTTAAAAATTGAGAACACATCCGCCTTCTTCTTGATAGGATACACCTAACATCTCCTGAAATAATTATCAATAAAGGACACAAAGTACTTTGCTCCTCCTAAGGATGTAACTGGTGCTTGCCATACATCAGAATGAACCAGTTCCAAAATAGTCTTACTTCTAGAACTCGATGTGTTGAACTTTAGCCGATGCTGCTTACTAGTAACACAATGCTCGCAGAATGGAAGAGCTACCGAATTAAGTCCAGGAAACAGTTTCTGATTGGAGGGAATCTTCAAGCCTTGTTCTGACATGTGGCCTAGTTTGCGATGCCACATCATGGTTTGTTCTTCTCCACAGCTGGTTGATGCCACACATGAATCAGCTTCCTGCATGGTTTCTCTCTTGAACATGTACAGATTTGCAGCTATCTTTTCTTCTTTTATCACCACAAGCGCCCCTCTAACAATCTTCATGATCCCATTTTTGATATGGGTCTTGCACCCGAGCTCATCTAATTATCCCAAAGACAATAGATTCTTCTTCAAGCCCTTCACATATCGCACATCTTGAATGGTGCGTATTGTACCATCAAACATTTTGATTTTGATAGTGCCAATACCAGAAATCTCCAAGACATAATCATTCGAATACAGATCCTCCTGAGATAGGTTCATATTTGTGAAATCATTCTCTCCGAGAGGTCATATGCCAAGAGGCTGCTGAATCTAGAAGCCAGACATCAGTAAACTTCTTTCTGCCTTCATCAACAGTGGTTGCTCCACTGAATAGAATTTCATCATCATCTGACGTGCTGACAACGCATCATTAAGATGTT